TCTCATTTTGAATACTTGTATCCCATGCTTTGTACATGGAGCAATTTTTAATAAAGGTATCATTTGTCATTAGGAGGGTGCGACATCATCTACATAGGATGTGAGATCACCCACATAGAGCATACTAGTGGCATTTAATGTTCCATGTACGTGATGTCGCGTCCTATATGGATGATGTCATGCTCCTCCCAATTATCAAAAATACCTTTACCAAAAAAATATTGTATTATAATACAACGGTAAATAAGTACCCAAACTTTGTTTAGCACAATTATAAAATACTTACAAGTGTATTAGTTGATCTTCTATTGTCATTTGCTTTTAAATAACCCTTGATACACATAATATTTCCTTATCTGTGTTTTGTTCCTTATATTTTTCTATTATGCAATTCCGCCATTGTTGGTTCCGAGCCCAGATAAAAAGAGAGGAGGGTTGTATTAGGTTGACAGCCAGCAAAAGCTTTTGTCACATCCTTCCATGAATCTAATCCAATATTCTAAGGGGTTCCCAATAAGCGACATGTTGTACTCACATCTGGTTTTAGTGAGAAATGAGCAAGGTTAGCTAGGGCATTTTTTGGAAGCGACACATCGCAATCATGTGCAGCGGCGACCTAGAACAACACCAGTTAGCACAGGTGATTTGATTCACAGGAAGGCTCTAAAAGGGTGAGGGGATAACTCCAAATGACAAATGGAAGTAGTGAGAAAAGAATATGGTGATTTATGGTCTGACTGAGGATGTGACCTTTGATAGAGCAAAATTACAGGACGAGATTCATGTAGCTGATCCGAAATAATCAGGATATAGCTAAGATGATGATGATGATGATGTTATTTCGATTGTACCATTCTTATTCAACTTTAGGACTCTTTATGACCTTGCATAATCTGAAAATTTGTTGGCGCGTTTGTTTGAAATCCATGGGTAAGAACAATCCAGCCAAATTTTCCTGGTTTGCTATCATCTACCTTTTTTTCTTGCATTAGGCTCCCTAGTGATGCATACAAATTTTATTTTTGGTTAATTTTATTTTTAGAGTTTTGGAAAAAATTTTATTTTTATTTATTAGGATTAATTATTAAAATTAGAACTTTTAGGTTCAGTTTGATAAGTTTGTTAATTTTAGAACCCATGTTTAATTTGAAATAATCTCTTTGTTTTAGAGATAAATCTCTTAGAAAAAGGTTGACCCTTTTGAATTGGTAATACGTGCTTTAGGATTGTTTCTTTAGATAACATTTAGGATGGAGTTATCCATTAGAGATAGAAGGTCACGTTGTGTTTAGGAAAGCTTATATTTTGCATGGGGGGGGGGGGGGGTAGGATAGGACATATCATTTAGTCAATTCTTTTTAGGAACTTATTGTATTAGATGAAGTTTATCTTTTGGGATTGGCGCCTGAGAAATAAGAGATGAAGAGCTTTTGGTAAGTTACGTCTTTTCTTCCTTTTGGATGAGTTGGGGCTTTGGTATGTTAATCTTTTTTATAGCTTTTAGGGAGATGCCTTTTTGGATAAGTTGGGGCTTTCGTATGTTTATCTTTTTTAATGCTTTTAGGGAGATATTTTAGGAGGTCTAGAATGAGATCCGTAAATTGAAGGAGGCACATCCCCTATCATAGGGACATGAGATAAAGGAAAATTTATAGCAAGGTAATTATCTTCTTAGTTCTAGAAAGGAAAAGTTACACTTTCTTTGTAAATTGGAATAGGTAAAAGTTGGCTCATAGTATTTTGTTTGTTATCTTTTAGTTTTAGTAGTTATATTTAGGATTGTGAATGTAAGGTCCTATAAAAGGAGCACATGAATTGTAATTGGGGGATTAAATTTTATGAATGAAAAGAATTGATCTTTGAGATCGTGTAGGGGTTATGAATGCAAAGAATTGATCTTTGAGATCTTGTAGAGTGAGAGAGAGAGAGAGAGAGAGAGAGTCTTTTGTGGGTGTTGTTTCTTCTCATTTGTATATGAATACTGATATCTGCACATTTTGTTCTTTCTTCTTGTGATTCACATCTGGATTTTTATCTCTCTCCAAAAGGCGGTTAACTTTATAGGTGTTGTTTGCCGGCAAATTTTATACTGCATCAGGTGCACCTAGTGGCACACCAGAAATACATCAGTTTTTTCGTCATACATCTCCATAGGCTCGATCTCATCGATTTTTTCATCATACATCTCCATAGGATCGATCTCCTCCGGGATCAAGTCGTCTTGATTCTCCACCTGACATAGTATAAAATTTTCTTTTCTATAACGAAGAAGATAATTACCTTACTATAATTTTCCATTATCTCATGTCCCTATGATAGGGGATGAGCCTCCTTCAATTTACGGATCTCATTCTAAACCTCCTAAAATATCTCCCTAAAAACCTTAAAAAAGATAAACATACCAAAGCTCTAACTCATCCAAAAGGAAGAAAAGACGTAACTTACCAAAAGTTCCTTCATCTCTTATTTCTTACGCACCAACCCCAAAAGATAAACTTCATCTAATACAATAAGTTCCTAAAAAGAATTGACTAAAAGATATGTCATATCCTACTTCCCCCATGCAAAAGATAAGCTTTCCTAAACTTGGGTTTGGTGATAGCTAAATCACTA